TTTGTTCAAATTATTTGTCATTGCATTCTTATTACTATACTGTTTTCTATCTTCACATAAATCGCAAAGTTTTTGAGCGAAGACGAAAGACATGTACTAAACAAAGGTTTAGGTTTCATACCTAACTAAACTCTCAATACTACTAGTTATGTGGCAAAAGTGATAGCGGAGGTGGAAGCAGGTACTTATAAAAAGTTGCTATCAGAAATGAAGACATAGTTAGTGAGGTTAAGAGAGTTCTTGAGCAAAATCTAGAGATAACGATTAAACTAAACCGAAAAAGCCTATCGAAGAGCCAGTTGAAAGCAATTAAAACTCTTAAATCCGATGAACAAATAATTGCAGTTCCTTCTGATAAAAGGAATAAAGTTTAGTTTTGAATGTTGAAGACTATATAAAGAAAATCACGGATAAACTAAATATTAATGCTTATGAAATTCTAACAGAAGATCCCTCTAACCTTATTCATAAACAGTTGAGTGTACTATTATCAGAATTTATAGGTAAAAGAGAAATAGAAAAAGAAATAGTTGAAAAATTACTTCAAAATACGAGAATTCCTTTCGTACGAGGTCAAGTTAAGGTTCATAAAGCAGATCGATCTGTGCGATTAATTGTCTCAATCCGCGACGCTATGGCGTCGGCTTTAGCAAAGTATCTTACTCAAATAATAAAACTATTAGCGGAAAATGTGAGATCAATTAAAAATACACAAGATCTCATTAATAAGTTATATAAGGTAAAATTAAAGAAAAATAGTACTTTGGCGAATTTAGCTGTGTTTGATCTGTTTACCTCAGTGGATAGAAAGAAGGCCTTAAACATTTTAAGCTATTTGCTAGATAATGATGAAACTTGGAAAGATAAAACAAGTTTGTCTAAAAGTAGCGTATTACGTTTAGTAGAATTTAGTACTGAAAATGTTATATTTCAGTTTGGTAATAGTTTATATAAACAAAAACAAGGATTGTCAATGGAATATCTAGGGTTAGCAAGATGCGTAGATGATATTCTACTTGTGTCGTAGCTTTCGCAGCAAAATATTAAAGAATTAGTTTCAGATTTGAATAGGCATGCAGATTTACAGTTGCCTATGAATATCAATCAAAAGATAGTAGCATATCATTATTAGATGTTTTAATACGTATAAATCACAATAAAAATTCTATTGAAACGAGCTGGTTTACAAAAGAAACTGTTAGCACTCGGGTGTTAAACTTCCATTCAGATCATAGTTATGCTATGAAGAAAAACATTGTTACTAACATGGCAAATAGAATAAGAATAGTTAATAACTATAAACATAATCTTAAAGCTAAGACTATTCTTCAAAACATGTTAAAAAACAGTGATTATCCGTCGACATTAATAAATAAAATTTGTCGGGAATTTGAGAAACAAACATTAACTTCAAATAATAAGACAACAACAACAATCATCAATTTCTTCTAGTGTAGTAGTAATACCTCATATCAATGGCATCACGGAAAAATTAAGAAGACATTTATCTAAGTTCAACATTAGAATTTATACCACATTAAATCGTAGTTTAGGAGCTATCCTAAATAAGTCAAAGAAAATAGCACTAGATAATAATAATTTAGAAGTAAGAAAAAGAGGCATAAAATTTAGTTGTTGGTTTCACAACCCAATTCACGCTTTGGACCGGTGAGAATCGTATCGAAAACAGTCCATCTTCGATGCGCGAAATTTGCTACAGAAAAACTGCCAGAAAACGCGGTCCAAGCAACTTTTTTCTTCAGCAGAAAGAACGCCCTAAAGCAGAATTTTCGTCACATCAGCTGCTTTGGATCGGAAACAACCGCATCGAAGGCGATCCATCTTTCAGCTCGTTTCATTTTTCTTAACCACTCAGAGCCGCGTTTCTGCACAAGTTTTACCACATAACTGGAAGCATAGAAACGCAGTTTTCAGAAGTATTTATAAAGAAGAAAACTGCTTCGAACTGCGCCCTAGTGACATTTTTTCTCAAGCGTATTCCTGAAGAAACTCATGCCTAATCGATTTCTAACTTTGTAGAAGGCTTTTAGCTCGTTCCGTTTGATTCCATCATACTCGGACTTTTCCTTGAGAACATGGTGCAATGAATTTTTAATCTTTTATCAGCTAGTGGGTGCTTCCATTACGCGATCATCTCTATCTGAAAAGGGAAAGTTTTCGAAACATAAGGAAATATCTTAGACTTTATGCATTATCTGAGAACGATAATCCAGAAAGATAAGGAGATCTGTAATATGACCCAAGAAGGATACAGTTCAACACTGACTATAGAAATTGGCAAGAGTTATTTCTCTTAATTCGCTCTCCCCTTCTCTCTAAATCCGCCGTGCACTTACCTTGTAAAATACTTCATGTTGTTCAAATAATTCTTTTGAAAAGGAACAAAAAACACACATAATCTGCAAAAAAACGATGAAATAGTTTCGCACTATGTTAATAAAAATTGAAATCTTATGTGTTTGTAAAAAGAAAGATTCTAGTCTATATATAACGGTCATTCTTTCTTTTTTTATAAACATTGTTATATAGAATACACGTGTGTATATATAAGCATCTACTCAGCTGTTTCTATACATCACAGTTCGAAAAACAACGTGGATGGAAACGCGAAAGAGTGTAATAGAATATATACTAATATTACCACATATTACGTGAAGATAGAAAAAGAAAGGAAAGTACACTTATATAATATTTGATCCTAGTAAAGTACGCGTTTGATCTCAAGAAACTTAACTAGATGAATTTCTTGAGTGAAGAAAATCAAGCACATGAGGCAAAAGAATTGTGTATTACATTAGCAAGAAATGTCACCAAGTCGTGACTTTCTTCAGTACGATAGCCGAGAAAGTTATGCGTTTGAGAAAAACAGCTTTATTATGGTTATTTTGCTTTAAACCACTAAGAACCGCGCCCAAGATACGGGAAACAGCGAGAACCGCACTTAGGAAACACAAGGAACGGCGAGAACCGCATTCAAAAACACCAGAAACGGCAAGAATTTAGTGGTTCACGGTTTTTTATTCGTGCTTGGGCTGTCAACTCTTCAGTCTGAATAAACAGTCAGACAGCAGAATTTGTCCAATAAGGTTTTTACCAGGTGGTTCTATTGTGACTTACAGCAGTGTCATTACGGAACTAATGCCACTTTTTGAAAGTGTCAACTAGAGGCTATTACCACTTGAATTGTTAAAAGTGTCAAGAAAAGATCAACTTCCATGACACTAACCGTTTTTCGATCTTCTCAGCGAATAAAACCAAGGTTGTTATGATTTGGATAGCCTCATCTTTTGAAAACATCCTCGAATCAAGAGCTTCTATGACGAACACCAGAAATTACTTCCATTTTATCAAGTACCGTGACAAGGTTATCTTGTCACACGCCCAGATGGAGAACGAGAATTGAGATAGTGTTGTGAAACTTTTACTGTTTGTACACTGATAAGCCGCAGGTTGAGTAAAAAGTTCACCATCGCCGCTAAGCATGTAACAAGTCAAACACTGCTTGAACTGAGACATGTTCAACAGGACAGCAGGCTCTCCCACAAAAGGGAGTTATTCTAACATTCTAACGTCGAAATGCGGCAAATCCTATCTAATGACATAAGCCACACATCCCTAGACACATTTCGAGATCTTGAAAACTTCTAAAAGTCCTCGATCTAAAACTCCATTATCTCGAAAACTGGTCGTCAGATTTCATTCAAATTTTTCTTTTAAGTAATTCTCTACCAGTACTCGAAACACACAAGATGTTAGCCTTTTCGGATCAAAACTTGCCTAGATCTGAACCTGCAAGGTTCGTTCGAGATCTAGTTTTCCAGTGAACCTCAGTGTAGTTCAAAAGTTTTTTCTACCACATAGTTGGATACCCACCGTTTAATTCCAAACAGAATAAGATGTCTCAGAGGTTTACGTAACGTCTTATGCAGAAGTTACATAGTGAAACTGATCAAATAAACACAAAAGAAAGCGATTGTCTGGAAAACAGATGGCTATAGTTTTATCAATAGCATATATCAATGATAGAAAAGCACGTACATCAAAAAGAAAATGGAACACTCGTCCTAGCATGGGCTTGTTCATCGTGAACAAACAACATGGAGTGTGGGCGAATTAGATAAAATTCGAGAGAATATCGGTAATCTTTTATCACGGAATACGTTTTTATCTGCAACAACCGACTGGCTGGGATAGAAATACGTCTGTACTCTTTCAAATTACAGTACATGATACACAACATGGCAAGCGACTTAAAAGGTTTGCCAATATAAGTCAGAATAGTGCGTTTGAAAGTGAGAAAGAAAGTCTCTGTTGAATGACATGATTGTTTCTTGGTTATGGATTTGAAATTAACCAATTGTGAAGAAGATGGAAAGGTGCAAACATTTATAAAAGATATTAAAACTTATCAATATCAAATTTCTGGTAAACGACTACCGTTTATTATGTTCAAAAACTTGTTTACGACAAATTCTCATAGTCATGCTGTACCATTGATAGAACTGATGAAGTTTTTCCTTGCCGAAATAATCCAATTGTTTGTTATCAATGGTTATAAGAAAGAAGGCCGAATGAAAAGAACTCATTGATCAGAAACCTGATCGACACGCACTCATAGCAAAGACAAACAGGGATATCGTTCGTCAGAATGCCAAGTATATCTATCAGTAATTTTCTTTGTTCCAAAGACAATCATGAACAAGAACAAGTGTTTTTTGAAAAAAATGATATGATATCATTACTTTGTTTTGGAGGATTTTTATTTCTAACTTGTAATAAGGTGCACGTAAAGCAAAATTACAGTGAAATTTTTTTTTGAGTTTATTATACATATTCGGATTACGTTTCACTGTGCCAGTTTGCTCATAAAACATTTTATCAATTTCCAAGGCTAGATCCATGCTGGTAAAACTGGCAGACTTTTCTGTACAACGTTCAAAAGCATATGCTTTAGCATCATCTAGGATATCAGGAAAATAGTCCCAGAAGTCTGACATGTGCTTTCCACCACCTAAAAGTCGAAAATGTTTAACATAAAACTGGTCTAACTTCAAGGCCAATACCTACGGTTTTCAGATTCGAACTCGGTCAAGTTGCCTGAGAGAAATATATCTGTCCACTTATGTGCCGTCTTAACGGTCTGTGCTCCAATACTTGTCAGAAAATCGCTGATGACCTCCCAAGTCGCTCCAAAGTGCCGCATAATCATGTAGATTAAGACACTCAAGTGTTTCACCGGACAGCTGCCCTTACAGAGTTCTAAACGATATAAAGTAATGTAGACATAAGAGGTGACGGACAAAGTCGGCAGGAAAGATACGTACCAAATAGATCACCGATGTCGTTGACGAAAAGTTTGTTCGTGAAATTCAGCGGTTCTTTATCTTCTTCTTCCAACACCATTGCTGCTTCTGCCTCCACGAGCTCTCCTTCATCCGAGATATAATCCTCGGACTCACTTCCGGATGAATCACTCTCAGCAGAATATCGTTTCTGAATTGCTGACTTTCCCCGAACTTGAATTTTAGTTTTCGGTGCCATCTTCAAGAAAAAAGTAGTTGGATACGGCTTAAAGCTTATCTGAAAGACGTAAAAGCAATAAGCATGTATTATATTATCTATTTAACTTTCTTTAAATGAATTGCTATGTACTTCACCACCATAAGCATCCAAAAAAATGGTTTAAAAAGCAACTGAATCAAAAACGCTGGGGGAAGAAAAAAGCGGAGGTTGCGTTTCTGTCTCGTTTTTGGT